CTCCTCCCCCTCCCCCTGGCCCACCTCCTTTATCTTTTGGTGGCATGGATATTCCAGAGGCTTCTATTCCACAACCAGATTTGGTGCCCTCCAAGTCAAAATCCTCATTGCCTGCTGTTAGTGAAGCTAGGAGTGACTTACTTTCTGCTATTCGTCAAGGTAAGCCTCTTCTCATTTTGGATCTCCATATCTGAACTACCTCAAAAGGCCAACCACCACCCCGTAAACACACCCCAATTAGGAGTCATTCTGTGATTGCTAGAATTCTGGACTTTAGCAAGATGTATTGGAAATCACTTAATCTCACACAGGGTATTTTCTTTGAATCTCTGCAGCTGCTATTGTTCATTGAATTGAATCTCTGCAACTGCCAGTGGTGGCTTAACTTTTCTGTTCCATCCAGCAAGTTTAAACAGCAACATTAGCTGAATCCTTTTTACTTGGACTAACTGAAAGATGCAAAATTGCCTGATTCCTGAATTTTGAAGAGAGAATACCCATTGCTGCTTTATATGCTTTACTGTAGTCTGAATTCTTCTGTGTTTGTTATAGTTTTTTAGTAACCTTCCTGCATCACATTATTAAAGTTATCATTATGCAGCTCCTCTTCTCCTTATGTCTTATACAGTACAACCTTCATTTCTGGCATCTTTCCCACTATTTTTTTGCTTTTTCAAAACATGTAACTTGCTGAAGAATTCTGTGAGACTTGAAAGTTACCTTGCTTGTGATTTTTTCCCCTAATAGTCTTAGTTGCTGCTATTTCCCTTTTCTTAGGCAAGATAATGTGCTAGCACAGCTATTTAACATAATGCTGAACTAGGAAAATCTGAGTTTGTTACACAAACCCTGGTTAAAACCCAGCCATTCAGAAGGGCACCTGTAACTTCTTTATCTCTTTCCTTGCCAGGATTCCAGCTCCGTAAAGTTGAAGAACAGCGTGAACAAGAGAAGCGAGACGTTGTGGGCAATGATGTGGCAACTATACTCTCACGCCGCATTGCAGTAGAATACAGCGATTCAGAGGATGATTCATCAGAGTTTGATGAAGACGAGTGGTCTGATTAAGCCCTGCGCATCCCCAATATGGGGGGGATAAGATGGAGAGAAATACCCATCACTTCCCAGAATGCCAAACTTTTTTTGTTTTCCTCTTTCATCCAGTAACCAAAGATCAATTTTCCAGGCTTCCAAATAACTGCTTTCCCCCCCTCAATTGATGGGACTTATACATCCTTCTAAGAAAGAAGGGAAATGTACCCTAGATTTCCAGACTCTCAGGTTACTATGGAAAAATATATATTGTTAAAAATTTTCTTTGGTTTAGGACTAAATTTGCAACTCCTGGTGCAATCAGAAAGTGTTGCTTAAGATGACAGCCATATTGTAGAGCAACAAACTTGCAGGTAATACTAATTTCCTTTGCAACAGTATGTGAGGCATTGGAAACACTATAGTAAGCTGGTGATTCACCTTCTTATCCATCAAATAGGATATAATTTTAAATTTCTACTCTCACCAACCTTAACAATAGTTTCTTTATGCTAAATTTGGAATTTATTAATTTAGGTTGAAGTTTAAGAACACTGTACTATGTGCACAACAGTTAGGATCTTCTAAAAATTTATCTCTCCCCCATATGCCTGTTAAATGGTAAAATGAGCCAAGGAACAAGGATCCTTTCTGTTTGACCCATAGTACCAGCTAGTTTTCATCATGATGATGGAATTTGATATTTGCAAAATTAGGAAGAATTTCCTTCCATGTGTCTTGAACACAGAGCTTTAAGCACTGGGTGTGGCCTTGTTTTGCAATCAGAAGACTTGCAGATTCTCAGTTCAGTAGAAGGCCATATATGAATCAAATTTGCTGTAAGTGCTTTTTTGAAAACAATAAAACAAATTGTGCTAAAAGCTGAGATGTGATGAAACCAAGACAGTGGCCCTTCTCTAGACACCACATGGGAGTTTTGAGGTGTCTGTTTATGGACCAACTTGGCCATATGTAATATACGCCTAGACTGTCTTATTATTTTGCTTTAATCCTTCAAAAATTACCATGGAGACATTTTAACATCTTTAGAAC